TTAATTTTTTAATAAAAAATTATAAAAAGTTTTCATTTATATTTATACTTATTTTCACACATTAATTTAGAATACTATTTATATTTTTATGCAAATAAAAATATTTTTATAATATCAAAAATAAAGAAAAAACCAATTTATAATATGTTTGGGTTGAGGGAAATGTAGATGTAACACCTCAAATTCGACATCAATGGGGACTTATGAATAAACTTGATATATAATTATAAAAACCAACTACTATTAATAACTTAAATTTAAACTTTTGAAGGCCCACAAACTTTGACTCAAAAAGTTGTTAAGTCAGTGATAAACTTTGATCCGGGTCATTTCAAGAGGAGAGGGAAGTTTTTTTTATCAATCAAACTGTAATGTTTTTTAACTATTGCAATTTGATTGGCAAAAAATTTTTCCCTTCCCCTCAACACAAACATATTATTGATTAAACATTTGAAATTGAAATGAGAAATACTAATATTTTAAAAATGAAAAAGTTATTACTTATTATTTTTCTTCTTTTTGAGAAAAAATGATAAAATTATACTAGTAAAATAAAAGAGAGTTCATTAGGGTTGTTTTAGAAAGTGAACTCCTAGTATATAAGTAAGATAAAACGTAACCATAAAACATAATCACAAGAGATGAATGTTTATTAAAAATAACATAAGTTAAAAAAGGTGATGTTATTATCTTGAGAAGTTGGTTGGTACACATATGACTATCACTATTGACATGTTGCGGTGTTGAGCTAGCACAAAATTCATCATGAGTTCTCTGCGATTCAAAACATTAGAAATATTGACAAACAATAACTAAATAGTATAAAAAGAGTTAGACCCAATATTAATTTTAGAAAATCCTTTGATAACAATAAAGTTAGAGGTTATCCTCTATGTTTTAAAGTTTAACACTTATTCTATTAGTAATGCATATATTCCTGACAAACCCCATAATCTAATTGTTATTATGCTTTTTAACGATCCCTCCTTTGTGAATAGGTTTGAAAAAGGTAGCCCTTTCAGTATTACTGTTCAATAAAATATAGAGGAGGTTTATGCCAGTAAAATATACAAAGTTACCCATTAGATAAATTAATCTGAATAAGAAAAATTGACTAAAATTCAATAGTTTTATAAATAATAAGAGAAAGTCATTTAAAACCTTAAAATACAAATTCTCATAAAACTTGTCTTTCTTTTTTTTTTTTTTGTTACTAAATTTCCCAAATAATGAATGAAAACAAAGCAATCCAAGGAATTTTGACATAAGAGAATCATCAATGCATTTACCTCTTGTTTGATTTAAAGGAAACAAAGTCCCCTCCATTTGTTTAGTTAGACTAAAATGAATAATAATAATAATAATAATAATAATAATAATAAAGGAAGGAAGGAAAAACCCCTCACTTCCCCTCATTCTCCCTCCTATTTTTTATTATCCAAATAGAGAAGTTTTTCTTCCTGTCCTCTCCCTTAAACCCAAAAAGACATTAATGTTAACTCTTAATCAACTAGTAAAAGAAACAAACGTATTCTCAATAGTTACAACATGGATGAATTTGTTTCAAATTCTCAATAAATATGAACCTTTTAATTGTTAGTATGAAGATATTAGCAATAGTAGTAAGGGCCCACGTGATGAAGAGCACTCTTCATCCCCATGGTGGTTTTTTGAAGGAGAAAAAAAATCTTCTCTCATCTTATTTTATAGTAATTTATAAAAATTTATCATATTACTTTTTTTTTATAATTTTAAATGGCAAATATGTTGAGTAGTTAAGTTAGACTTGAGTTGCGTAATGAATATTGGGTTTTGTCATTAAAATAAATGATAAATTAAGTAAATACATTGAAATCTATTAAAATGTTGGTTAAACCCAATTTACAATAATTTTTAAAAAAATTATTGTACTGCTAAGAGTACATTACATAGAGTCTCCATGAGAGGAAAGAGATATTGCCACTTTTAAATAGTATATTTGGTTTGAAGGAAACAAATGAAAGAGAACAAATGAGGTTTTGGTTTTTAGGCAACTTTCTTCCTATAGAATGTGAGGCAACCCCTCTCTCATCTTGTTACATAGCATGTGATTCGAACTTCAAAACTGTTACTTCTACTGAAAATAAATCACCACTGAGTTATGTAAGTCATTAGCAAAAGGAATGTGTTTTGTAATCAATCAAATTATAATATTTTCAAATATTATAATCTGATTGGTTGACAAATCCATCACTTCCCTTCCTTCAAACCAAACATACACTTATTAGAGATTTTGGCAAAAATCCTTCTTAAACACCCAAAACTTACCCCAAAATAACATTTAGACCCCCTAAACTAAAAATGAAGCAGATAATTCCTCTAACTTCACTAACAATACAAATAAGCCCTTCTCACAAACAGGTCAAACACTATTTCATGTTTAATATTACCTTGAAAGCATGGATACTCATGAATGAGAAGGGCCTATTTGCATCATTAGTGGAGTTTGAAGGCTTATCTGCTTCGTTTTTAGTTTAGAGGTTTAAATGCTATTTTGGGGTAAGTTTAGGGGTTTAGGAAGGGTTTTTGCCAGTGATTTTCAAATCGTAAAGCAAAAATTTTTTTGTGTGTAAAAGTTAAGTTTCTTAAATAATTTCAAAACTTTTTGAACTAAAATATTAAATTAGAATATTACTATCAAAATATTAAATATTAAGGACTGCATCTCTAAATTGAAACTAATTTAAAACTTACTAAAAATAATTAAAAATATATCAAAATAAATATAGAATATTAGATATGACACAAATAAGGAACAAAACATTATTCTAAAAGGAAACAAAAAATATTCTATGAAAAATTGAACATAATGTCTATCAACATAACACAACTAATAAAGTAGAACAAGAATATAATATGAAATGTGTGCTTTAATTATGAATTCTAAAGTGTTGAAGCATGTAAATTACTAATAAATAAATATATATATCCAAAACTAAGGAGGAATGTAGAAGTAAATGCTTTCGAGAAAATTAAAGAAAATAAAATTGAAAAAAATGAAAAAAAGGGAGGCAAATTAAAATGCCACTTAAAAATATTATGGTTTTAAATTGATAAAAAAAAAATTAAATATTAAATTCTAGTTCAAATTTAAATCCTAAAACTTTAAACCATAAATTTTAAAAGTTGTGACCTTTAAATTTTTATTATTGAACTCTAAAATTTTAAAATCTAAAACTCTAAAATTATAAATCTAAATGTTAAATTCTAAAACATTAAAGTTTAAATTTCTAATTTTTCAAGTTAAATTTTAAATATTGAAACATAAAATTATTCTTCCTAAATTCTAAAAAAAATTTGGGCTTAAAAATAATAAATACTTAATTTAAAAAGTAATATAATAAAAAAATCTAGTAATTTTTATTTTATTATTGTGAATTAAATGTTTTAATGTACACTTTTCTCATATAATTTTACCCAAATAATTAGTCTTTTTTTTTATCAATTTTTATTTTTAAAAAAATTTAAATTAACAAAAAGTAACAACAAATATATATTGAGGATGTAGTAGTCAAGTGGCATTAATTAAGTTTTTGCCATAATTTTGGACTTTGACATTAATTGATCTCATTAAACAACAATTTAAGAAATACTCAATCATAAAACAAATTACCAAATAAAGAAAGTTTTGTAATATGTTAAAAATACCTCAAATTAAGGATTATATAAAAATTTAGTACATAACATGATTTTGTTTTATTAGTTTCTCTCTTAATATATAGAGAGATGTAAAACAAATTTCTAATGCAACATGACTAAATAGTTGAGCCAAACAAAATAATACCAAATAGAAGATGAAGAGTATTAAATCTAATTCAAATCTAATATAATTAACATGATAAAATGTAGAATTAAAAAAGAAATAAATACAATTTTATGAAATGATATTAATAAAACTTGAATTGTATAAGATAAAAGGGGTTGGTTATTATTATATTTTAAATAGTTAATATTATATCATTTTAATATAATTGTTTATTATACCCTTGCATTACTTTTTTTTAATCTACATTTTTTATTTCTTAATAAATTAAAAATATAATAATTAATTAAAATAAAAAAGTGTGGTATTAATAATTAAAGGCATGATAATAATATCACCTCATAAAAGGGAGAACAGAGAACTTTTTATACTCAACTTTGTATGTATCTAAATTCAAAATTTTTTTACTGACATTATTATTATTATTTTTTTTGTACTTAACTCTCTCTACAAGAATAGCTTCAATATTATTAAAAAAATAAAGCTTCACACTTTAATTTTACAAATATTATATTATCAGTATTTAAATTTTGTAAAATGGTATCAATAAAACTTAAAAAAATAATACAAAAGAAGTTAGGTTATTGTCACACCCAAAATAGTTAATACTATATTATTTTAATGTAATTATCTATTTTACCTTTACATTACATTTTTTTCTCAAAATTCTACATTTTTTTTGGTTCCTAATAAATAATAATAAGTAATAAATAACTTAAAAAAAAGAAAAGGAAAACGTGCAAAAAAAGGCCAAAAAAAAAAACATTCTAAGTGTTCATGGAAAGAAAAGTGCAGCAAAAAAAGTACTGCACAATTTAAATATATATAGTTGTAATATATTAATTGATGGTAGAATAACTCATTAAATAGTATGATATTTTTTACTTTTTTTGACTCTAGTAATAATAAAGGTTTTTCCAACCTATGTTCTTAAAGTAGAGGTTAAGAATTTCTTTTATTATAAATATATGTAAAAAATATAAAAATTAATATTAAGTTTAGTGTTAGTATTAAATATGTGAATTTAATTAACCAGTTGATAAATTAAAAGTTGATTTTTATTTTTTTGATAAAATTTATGATAAAAATGCATATTTAATACACTCTTAGTCTGTGCCTTGATAGTATATGTTAGATATATCTTAATAATAATAATAATAATAATAATAATAATAATTACATTTATAAAAGAATTCAAAAAAATAAAATAAAATTTACCATAAAGAGAAAGTCAGGTCATGTGTTAAAAAAATTAAAAATTAAGGAAAACATATGAATATGACATATGACAAATTAAACATTTTCCCTTTGTGGTTTCTTCTTTATATTATATATATAGATGTTAAGTACTTATTAATTTTAATTAAATAAATACAAAATTTTTTTAAAAAAAAGTAAACAAAACTCTCCCTCTCCTTTCTTTTATTAATTTAATTAATGATTTTTATTTTAACGCCTGAAAATAATTCAAAATTTTAGTTTTAATTACTAAGATTTTGATTTTTTTTTATTAATACAATTCATGTAATTAATCAAAATATTTTAATCATAATTTGATACAATAATTTGATACAAACTACGTCAACCTATGACGAAACCGGTAAACAAACTAACAAATCAGATCTTAACCCTAATAACCACAAATTCAGACTTCAACTAAATGAATGTTTAGCCTAAATAACATAACAAACGTAAAATAAGCTAAAATAACCTAAAAACATTGTGAAATATCTAGCTTGAGCCCTCCTAATTGATCCAACAAGAATTTGAATTGAACCTTTAAAGTCAAACCTGGATTTACATCATAATTTATTAACCAAAGTGAAATATTTTAGTTGCTAAATTGTTAATTGTATTAATCAAACAAAAAAATATTTTAAATATCAAGTAATTTAGAATTGAATAATATATGTTCATATCTTATAATAAACTATGTAGTGAGAAAAATAGAGAGAGTTTTGATTATTATTTTTTTATTTTATAGTAATTTATTTAATTAATATTAATTGATAAAAATTTAATATTTTAACTATTACATTTTAAAAGGGTATTATAATTATTATAGGAATTCTTGATATACTTATAATGTATTTTGTT